CATTTAGTAGCAGTACTTCTTGTTTTCCAAAGTTCTTTCTTCCTCTTGAAAATTAGAGTTAATACTTTCATAGCAGTCCCTGATTATGTGTGCCCCTTCATATTCACTGTTCCACTTGATTTTGTTAAGGAACAGAAATTGAATTGCTGGACTAAACTGGGTGGTGATTACACGAAGACCACAAATCCTTGGTACTGTTTGCTAGCCAATGTAGCAGACTTTATATTTTAAAATTGCAAATAGGGAAAAACAAAGAGAGGAAATAAACAGGCAAACATGAGACTTTATATTTTTTAAATGACCAAAGGGAAAAGCAAGTCCCTTAATTACTTTGAGATGCAGAGCCTCAGATCAGAACAAATAACTGTTTACATGGACAAATCACTGGAATGTGAAAATGCATCACCATAACCTACATTTTTTTTCTACCAAGAGATTTGCAGCTGCCTGTGAGTGACTCATTCCTTTGCTTAGAGGATGAGGTAATGCTATTGTGAGAGGTGATGTCATCTCCCTACCTGAACTGCATACATATATATCGCTTCTCAGGCTCTCAAGGAAAAACACCATCTGCTTTCACATATGCAGCCTGAGACATTACTGAGATTGGTGCAAAGGTCAGCAGCCATGTGTATGACTCATCAACAGCCAATTAATGAAGAGTAGCTATTTAAAAGTGAACTTCTAAAAATCATAATCCATAAGTATGACATAATGATTCAATGTTGAATCATAATTTTTTTGTTATTTTATGTCTGGTGTTTATTCAGTTAATATTGATGAGGTTTAATATTTAAATTAAGGCTATTTGCTCAGTATGTTCAGTCATCTCAAACCTTCTTGGTTGTTTAAATTATGTTTGTTTTTAATTGAAGTTTCTTTATTTTTAAATTTTTTATTGCTATTATAATGGCAATATAAAGAGGGTTTACAATTACATACGTCAGATAAAGAGTACATTTCTTGGGCTGGGATGTAGCTCAGTGGCAAAGTACTTGCCCAGCCAGTGCAATGTCTGGGTTCAATCCCTAGTGCCAAAAAAGAAAAGACAAAAAAAAAATACAGTTTGTTTAAAAACAAAAAACCAAAAACTAAATGAGTACATTTCCTTTTGGACAATGTCACTCTCTTTTTATTTTTTGGAGATGTGTGGATTATTCTTCAAAGAGGACAAAAATTTTAGTCCCCTTGTAGTTTGACAGTTGCTTTTTGTAGCTAAGAGCCATTTTGTTCCCTAAGGATCTGCTACCACTTTAGGGAAAAAGAGATTGTTGGTGGAAGGAGAAACAATTCGAAATAAATGTTCTCTGCTGACCATAGATCACTATACCTGCCTTTCTTTCCTTGTATACCTGCTTTCCTGTTTGCACTTAACCTGGTATTACTGCTGATTTGATCAAACAATTGAAACACCTATTTTTTAACTTTGTCATAATTTGAATCTACAGTTCTAGTAAATATAGAAATCCTAACATACTGTGGAAGATAGAGAATTATAAATACTTGATTCTCTAACTGATAATGTAGCTCAAAATGGAAGATAATAAGCTAAATACTGTGTCCTGTTGTTGTAGAGTATGATTGTTGTGATGTAAATTTGTTTTAATGACAACTTCAAGTTTGAACATTATAGAGAAGATAAAAAGTTCTAATTTTTAAAAATCTTTTCTGTTATCAAGAAATATGAGAAAATAAAGGATAAAATAGTAATGCTAAAACAATCATGAGATCCATGTCAATGTTGTTTGAGAACTTGTTAAATATACTAAGTTTTTTTTTCATTAAGAAGTATAAGTGGAAATTTTTCAGTGCCAGAATGGTGATAGACTTTCAATTTAATGGTATAGTCTTCTACATTGAATTATAGAACTCTTGCAAGGGGCTTAAGTACCTTTCTTGGGCTTGTGCTCTACCACTTGAGCCACAACTTTAGCTCTGCTTTTTTGCTTTTGTGTAATGGAATCTCTTGGACTTTTCTGACTTGTCTGGAGATCCTCTGGAGTTCAGCCTCCTTAGTAACTGGAATTACTAGCATGAACCAGTGGCATCTGATGTTGAGTACCTTTCTTTTCTTTGTAACTTTGAATAGTTACAGCAACTCTGAAAAGTTACAGCAGTCATAATGATACAAATAGACAATCAGATTTGCCTGCCCTAACTTAGTTGTTTGACTTATCACTTACATGCACTGTGTTCAAAAAAATGCAGTGGTGGAGCTCACTGGACACTGATGAAAGTGAACTACACAACTCATGGATAGAGATGGGAGAGAGGGAACAGAAAATGTATGAAAAGAGGGGCTGGGAAGGTGGCTAAGTGGTAGAGTGCTTGCCTTGCATGCATGAGACCTTGGGTTCGATTCCTTAGTACCACATAAGCAGAAAAGGCCAGAAGTGGCGCTGTGGCTCAAGTGGTAGAGTGCTAGCCTTGAGCTGAAGAGCTGAGGGACAGCACCCAGGCTCAGAGTTCAGGCCCATGACCGACAAAAAAAAAAAAGAAAATGTATGAAAGGAAATTTATTCACTACCTAACTCATGTAATTGTAATCCCTCTGTATATCACCGTTATAATAACAATAAATAATAAAAACATAATTTACTGATAGGAAGCAGCTGAAAAACTTGTCTATATCCAATGCATAGAATAATTGTAACTATTAAAGAAGTTATTAAAAATGTGCTGTGTTCTTTTGCTTAGTCATTGCACTCCTTGTATGTCTGCCACCTTGACACTTCTTGTATAAAACATTTGGAAATGAATTCAATATACATAAATATGTGTGTTGAATATTACTCCTGAAAACATTGCAGTTCTTTAATCTCCTTATATTTGAGTTCTGTCAAATTATTTAATAAATGTCCTTTTTTTCCCCCCAAGGTAGATCTTAGAACTTGCTATGTAGCTTAGACTGGCCTTGAACTCAACAATCCTCCCTGCCTAAACTTCCTGAGTTTGGGGGTTACAGGCATGCACCACTATACTCAGCCTTATGATAATAAAGCCTTTATAATGTTTTTTTATAGCATCTTCTACCCATAGTTCAGCATCTAGTCTTTACATCATTTATACGTCATTAGCCTTTTCTGATCTGGTTTCCATAGCCTTCATCTTTTTTTTAATGCCATTGATATTTTTGGAGAATAGTCTAGCTGCTCTTTTATTAAAGAAAAATAGAAGTTACCTCATCACCTCATCATTCTTGTGCTTGCCTGACAGTTCACTCTGATCAAGTTAACTTCTAGAAGTACAACATAAGTTATGTTATATCTCCCTAAAGGGAGCACTGCTATCTTGAATGGATGGGATGAATTTTGACTATCTAGTAAAAGTATTGTCTGAGATGTTCACTGTAGAATTCTGCAGCCAGATGCCAGTGGCTCACACCTGTTATCCTAACTACTCACAGGCTGAGATCTGAGGATTGCAGTTCAAAGGAAGCCTTGGCAGGAGAGTTTGTCAGACCTTAACCATAAAAGAAAAAAGAAAAAAAAAAAAACAGAAATAGTGTGGCTCTGTAGCTCAAGTGGTAGAGCGCTCGCCTTGAGCTGAAGAGCTGAGGGACAGCACTCAGGCCCAGAGTTCAAGCCCCACGACCGACAAAAAACAAACAAACAAAAAAAAAAAAACAGAAATAGCTGTGGCTCAAGTGGTAGATTGCCAGCCTTGAGCAAAAAATGTTAAGGGACAGTGACCAAGCTCTGAATTAAACTGGCACACGTGCGCATGCATGCACATGCACATACACACACAATACCATTGTTTTATTTTCTTATAACTGACAAGTAATAACCTATAGGGAGACATTTAAAGCCTGTGCAAATATTGTACTCCTCATCAACATTTCTACCTGTAATTAGCATTTACATCATTGCTGATTCTTGTCTAATCCAGTCTTTCTGGTTACAAAAAGCTATTTTTTCCAACTCTAACCTTCCTTTCTCATACTGTACGTATCTGTGTTTACTGGTACAGCCCTATGCACTTCAGAGAATCCACCATGAAGCCCTGTTGCTCTAACTTCCAGTAATATCCCAGGCCTGACCAGCCGCTGTCAGCTAATTCCTGCCTCTGTCTGTACTTCCTGTCTCCACCATCTCCTCTCAGTCTGTTTATTTTCTTTGTGGTTCTTCTATTGTGACCTGTACACTTCAGCCTAAGGATTTTAAAAGCCTGGTTCCCAGCATCAGCATAGTTTACCTGCTCATGTTGAGATCTTTGTCCATATGTTATTTTCTCAGCAGGATCTAACACGAGCTGTTTATTGACAGCCTCTTCCCCACTTCACCCTGACATTTCCCAGGCCCCTTTTTCATGTTATACTTTCCCTGCTGTGGTATATATCACCTAATAGGCTGTATTAACTTATTTACGTTGTTTCTTCTGACACAAGAGCAGTGACTTTTCTTTGTTTTGCACAGTGGGCTAACCATCAAGACTGTACCAGGTATATAAGTTGACCCTCATAAAGACTGTTTAAAGAAGCAAGAACAACTGACACATAAACCCAGGAAGCTTAGTTCTCAGCCATCTAGCTCGTAGCAGAGTTGAGAAAATAAAGAAGGAAAGGAATACTGCTTGAATCAGCATCTCCAAACCTATATTCCTTGGGTTCAAGTCCATGACCATAATTGGACTAGATAAAATAGGTCTAGAAAATACTGTATGTGCTATCCATTTGCTAGAAAAATCATTGAATATGTGAATAGCTATAAGAACAACAGTAACCTTTTGACATTATTGGATTCATAAACTCTCTTTTGGGAACTTATCTACCTTAGAGGTCCTCTTGGCTCACATCAGAGTTTGAGATAAACCATAGTGAACTGTTCTATGTAGGCCTAAGGAGTAATTAGATGTTTTTTTAAATCACTTTTGGTTGATGGACCCAGCTTCTTCATCTGCTCCTCAGAAGGAGGCTGGAGTATATGATACTGAAGATTCAGGCTCTTAAGTATTACTCTTAAGGTTATGGACCTTTTCAAAGTTAGCTTTTGTTTTAGGTATTTGGGAATAAAATGATAATTCCTTCCCTGGATGGAGACCTCTTTCAGTGGGACCGAGACCGGGAGAGCATGGAAACTGTTCCTTTCACTGTTGAATCCCTTCTTGAATCTTCTTATAAATTTGGAGATGATGTTGTTTTGGTTGGAGGAAAATCCCTTACTACATATGGACTCAGTGCATATAGTGGGAAGGTGAGTGAAAATGTATTTATTTGGGGGAGATCAAATAAGTTGGGATAGAGGAAATAATTTTTGAAACTATACTATTGAGGTTTATTATCATTTCCTCGGGGATAGCACTTGTTTTAACAAGAAAAAGGTAAAATAGAAAGGGGAAACTAAATTTATCTAAGAAAAGAATAAAAAGCAGTGCCAGAAATAGTAGAAGGAAGAGAATGAATGTGATCTACTATGTCAGGTGCCCTTTTCATACTTTATTGTCTGTTTTTTGCCAGTCCTAGGGCTTGAACTCTAGGCCTGGGTGCTGTCCCCTGAATCTCATAGCATACAAGGCTAGCATTCTACCACTTGTGCCACAGCACCCCTTCCCAATTTTGTTTCGGGGGGGGG